TTATTTTCCGAAGTAGTTGTACCATTTCATATTGCCACCAGCAGTGTATAAGAGTTCCAGTTCTCCCATATCCTTGCTAACTCCTTGCTAACACTTGGTATGAATCAGTCTTTTCAATTTTAGCTATTCTAATTGGTGTGTTAGGGTATCTTGTGTTTTTAATTTGCAAATCCCTAAGAACCAATGATGTTGACCATCTTCTTGTGCTTACTTGCCATCTATATTTCTTTTCTGAGATGTCTGTTAAATCTTTTGCTCATTTTAAATTGTGCTTTTTATTGTCTTCTTCTTTCTTCTTTTTTTTTTTTTTTTTTTTGAGATAGAGTTTGCTCTGTTGCCCGGGCTACAGTGCCGTGGCATTAGCCTAGCTCACAGCAACCTCAAACCTGGCTTAAGTAATCCTTCTGCCTCAGCCTCCCTAGTAGCTGGGATTATAGGCATGCACCACCATGCCTGGCTAATTTTTTCTATATATTTTTAGCCGGCCATTAATTTCTTTCTGTTTTTAGTAGAGATGAGATCTTGCTCTTACTCAGGCTGGTTTCGAACACCTCAGCTCAAGCAATCCTCCTGCTTCGGCCTCCCAGAGTGCTAGGATTACAGGCATGAGCCACTGTGCCCAGCCTCTGAATTGCTTATAAAAGATTTTTTTAGACAGGACCAAGAGTAGCAATAATTCTGTTCCTATACCACCAAGTATTCTTTCGTCTAACCCTTTTGGGTGTTTCTTTCCTCAGCCTTGGGTATTTTCCTCATGCATATTTGTATATCATTACTATGCTCAATATATAAGGGGAATGAATACATGAGATCTCCACAGTTCTCTCTCTACGCAGGTCTTTTTTTTTTATGGTACTCTGTCCTATTAACTCTAACTCCCCCTTCCTACTCTAAGCTTTATCTCTTTAATTCAGAGTATCTGCCAGGCTTGGCCTCAGTTTCCCTCCATCTAGTATAGCCTTGTAACTCTCAAGTTAGTAAGCTGTGATAATCAGATGGCTCACCTCATTTGTTTTCCACGTTTCAGGGAATGTTGTCCTTTGTTGGCTCTGTCCTATGTCCTAAATATGATTGCTTCATATGTTTTGTGTAGTTTTTTTGGTTGTTTCGGGCAGCAGGGTAAATTCATCTTGAACAGAAACATGCTTTAATTTTCAGCATAGCGTTTATCTCCATTTGATAGATTATTTAGTTATTATTTATTGTCATACTCCACTTCCCCTAGAATGTAAGCTCTTTAAAGACATTGCTTTGTCTGTTTTTATTACTGTTTAGCCTCCATCACCCAGTATAACATAGCACAGTGTTAGTAAATATTGTTGAGAAAACGAAGTATAAATAAATGAAAAATAAGGCAATTACTTTCTGAATTTGAATGGTGATCACAAGAATAGAGAAAAAAGGAAACCTCTTAAAATATATTGTGAAAGAATAATGTAAGACTTTTAACTGATTAGATAAATGGAATGAAGGAAAGAAATTTAGAAATGGTTGACTTTGCTCAGGTTTCTAGCTCAGGAACTTCTCTCATTCACTATACTCTCCCTAGGCAATGTCATTGGTTCATATGGTTTCAGTTTACCTTGCTATCTCTATTTCTAGTCTGAATCTCACCTGAAAATCAGATGCCTACTGGGCATCTCCACTTAGATGTATCACGGGTATATTAATTCAACATAAAACAAATTCATAATTTTTTCCACCTGAACTTATTTCTCCTTTCTATATTCTTTATCAAAAGAAAGGGTTACTATGACCAAGCCAGAATGCCAAGTGCCCATTTTATATTTATGTCCCCTCTCTTCCCTTCCCCCTTATAATAAATAACAAATCTTGTTGATCCTCCTTCCTGAAAAGCTCTTGGAATCCATCCATTTCTCTCTAACCTACTGCCTTATCTTAGTTTAGACCATTGTCTTTGCCTGTCTTCATCATAGCAGGATCTTCCATACTGTCTTCTTGTTTCTTTCCCATGAATTCTTTACACTCTAGTTAGAAGAATTTTATAATTAAAAGAAATTGAAGAAGCAAAGAGAAGCTGAGGCTTAGAGTGTTAGAATAATTTACTCAAGATGACAGAGCTAGGAAGTGGTGGAGCTAGGTGACAAGTCCTGAGTGATGCAAGCCCATGCTTTGTTCACTATACCACATTGCCACTGATAATATTAATGAGTTCTTGAGTAGTTTATAAGCATTTTCATGTTTTTCTTCTTGAATAACTTTTTGAGATAGGGGTTATAATTACCCTTACTTGCCAGATGAGAAAATTGAGACTCAAGGGAGGTAAGGCAACTTGTCCAAGGACAAGAAACTGTTAAATGGTGACGTGATGTTAGTACTAGAAATTGGTTTCTGGCTTCAAAACTCGTGCTTTTATCCCCTCATACCACTTTGGAATTTGCTTATGGTTGCAAATACACAATATACTTTTTTAGGTTTAATTGTGATTTAGTTTGGTCCTAGCAGTGTGATCAAGTGTGGGGTCAAGTTACTTAACCTCTACCTCAATTTCTTCATCTATAAAATGCAGATATTTACTGTATAAGTTACAAAGTACTCATCAGTGTCTGATACATGCTTAATGTCTTAGTTATTGAGATATATTAGGAATTAACTATTGTTAATATTAGCTTCTTATTCTCTGTTACTCCAAGCTGTGTCTTACAAAATAATTATTAACTTCTCATTATTGTATATTCTTTCTTATTTCCCACTTCCCTAAGCATTCTATATTTATTTTTTCCTCCATGCCTTTGCTTTAGCTGTTCCTTGTATTTGAATTGCCCCCTTTTTCTCTGTTATTCAAATCTTAGTATTTTCTCAATGCTCTTACAGTTTTCTGAAATATTTTTCTAATTATTTTTGCCTGTGTTAACCTTTTCCTTTATAGAGAATTTATCTTATATTCTTAGAGAATTTATCTTATATCTTAGAGAATTTATCTTATATTCTGTAACTATACTTTATTTCTGAGTCTTTTTTGCTTTTCAAATTTATGATGAGGATCATTTGTTCCATAAGTATTTATAATTGTTTGGATGTAATTTGGTATGTGCATTATTGAAGAAGTCTTATGTGTCAGGTACTCTTTAATACTTAGGGCATAAGGCTGGATAAGACCTGGTACTTGTACTCAAGTAGTTCATAATATAGTTGATAAATTATAGCTTATATTTCTGTGACACAGTGGTTCTTAACCTCTCTTCTGCTTTGACATCATTTATATTCGCAACTCACTTTCATTGTTTGCATCTAATTTTGTACATTCACTGGAGGAGCATTTCCCTCCAGCATTGAGACTCACTGATTTATAATTCTAAAAAGCCTCTCTCATGTCCTCTCTTATTTAAGTGTCATAACAAACAAATGTATGAATTAATGTAGCCATTAACAGAAGGGAAATTCCAATCCAGAGATGTAAATATTACTCTCCCACCTTATGGGTGAATAAACTGAGTCTCAAAGAGCTTTTTAAAGACTCAAATAGAAAGCACTTAAACTCAGCTATAGTATTTAGGTAACCTAACAATGGAATAGTAAGCTCCAGTATGTAAGCATTAATTTTCTTTCTTATTTTAAACTTTTTATACTGGAAATCTTTAAATACAGAAAAGAGAGAGCAGTATAATGAACACCTGTTTATCCATCACCCAGCTTCATCAGTTTATCAACATTTTGCCAATGTTGTTTTATCTACTCAGCCACACTGTTTTTTTTTTTCTTTTCACAGTATTTTAAAGCACATCTTAGATGTGATACATTTTACCCATAAATACTTAAAGATGAGCATTGACTTTAAATTTGGCTGAATATAACTGTGTAAAGTATATTAATGTAAAACACCCTAACTCTATTTAATTCATTATGCCATTATGTCTGTGGTGACATTCAACAGATGATTACTACATCGACTTCTGTGGAAATATAAATTCTTAGGATACTGTTTCATATGGTACAGAAGTATTTCAACTAGAATATTTCTTTGAGCCATATTAATATGACTGGGAGGGGGAAATTTAGCTAAAAGGAAACAATTTAACTAATTTTATGCTTCTAGTGAATACTGATTTTCAAAAATGGGTACTTTTATGAATCTATTTTAAACCCATTTAAGAAATTTTTAACAAAATGTCTATTTTCTAGTATGTTCTTTTTTTCTACCTTTCTTCTTGTTTTAAAGGAAAGGAAGTTCCTTTTCTTCTTCTCCAAAAGCTAACCTGAACAGATGTATACTGAATATAATTTGCCTCCCTCATAGAGTTTTGCTGCTTCATCTTATCTTTTGTATCTGTGTTCTTTTTCTCTCCCATCCTGTCAGCCTATAGGTCTACAAGTCTACCTAATTAAAAACAATGAAAACACAACAAATTTTCCTTGATTTTATGTCCTTCTGTCTATCTGAATATCTTGGCAGACACTTTGTTGACCTTAGGGAAAGGCTCAAATTTTTTATTTTGGATAGAAGGGTCTTTACCTTTCATCTCCCAGTTACCTTTAAAATTTCACTTGTCACTTATTCATAATTGTTAATTATGAATTGTTAATTCATGTTAATTCATAATTATAATGATAATAAGCTAAACACTGTTGTCACATTAGCATATTATTTATACATTTATGTATACCACATCAGAATGTAGAACTAGAACTTATCCCTCATTGTTGCTCAATTCAGTTCAATAAAATTCACCAAACATTTGAATTCTCACTATGTGACAGGTATTATTATTAGGGCAGGTATTATTAGAGCCCATTATTCTAGGCTCACTTACTAATCCCTAGCAAGTTTTGGACTATGAAATCCATTTGTAATTGGATATAATATCAGAATAAATTACACAGTGATACTTTTTACCTAAATATATGTATATATAAATTTTTGTTATAAGTGCAGGTGCTTTTGTAGTATGACAGTGTTTAAAATGATTTGTTTGTAATTTTCTGTGCCCAACTATTATAGTCAAACTATTATCTAATTATATTTTTAATTTATCTTTCAGGGACAGTATGGAAATTACCAGCAGTGAAAAAGTACTTACATTCCAATAGCCAATATCTATTAGCAGCCATATTGTCACCTCAGCACTGTGGACACCTCCCTGTGAAGAGTTCCTTCCATTCCATCTAATTTTTGGAAAAACCTTGTGGATAAGTGGCTGTTTCATCAATAAGCAGCCTTTGTGGTTTAGTTGTAAAAGGCTTTAGTAGCTCAAAAATACTCTTGATTTCACATTTCTACTCTAGATGGCAACATTGGACAGAAAATGCAATGACATAACCAATTTGCAATGATTTCAGAACTGTGTTTCAAATGGACTGTTACAGACTGAAAGGTGTGAACAGCTTTGTATGTTTATGAAGGTTAAGGGAATTTAATACTTTTCCACAGATTTTTTTGTAAGGGGAAGAGGGAAATGTACACTTTTTACAGCAGCAATATTTTGTATATTATGTTTATTTCATGTGGTGAATATGCAAGGCGGTACACTGCGCACTGGACAGAATCAGAAATCCTCTGTTAATGTGGACGGGAGCATGGTAGATGCTTGATTGTTTTGGTCTCAAAATGGTGTACCATAAAGAGAAAGGTGAGAGAAGACAAAGCACACCATATGTCCACTGTTCTGTTCTTATAGAGGAAATTCAAATCCCTTTTATCTATTAGATAATCAAGGGCACTGTGATACAGTTTTGAGTAAAAAGACATTTTTAAAAAGCCTTCCAGTTTTGTGGATTAAAACCTTTTTGTAAAGATCATTTCTAATACTGTTTTAAAATGTGAGGCAATAAGAATTACTTTATGTTGGATCTGAAGAATCTTTGGTAACGGTTTCATATAAATGAAGTAATCCTCTCCTAAAATAGCAATAACTGAAAATGAAAGTATTAATTTTACCTTGTTTGAATAATCAGGGAACTTAGTAATATCAAAGCATTTTATAAATGATATCAAAGAAGAGTCAACATTGATCCAGTAATTTAGTTTTTTAACGTTAGAAAGGTAATTGGTTATATAAACAAAATAGTTCAGGAGACTTTACAAACCATTGTTTCAACTTTCTTAACTGGAAATAATGCCATTTATAAAGGGACACTTTTATGTTTATCCCTTTTTTTTTTGTATTGGTTAATATAACACACAGAAATGTTTAGGAAAATGCTTATTGATGAGGTTTATTCTATCTGTTATAAAAGCACAGAGGTTGCATTCTAGATCACCTTGTTTATTAGCATAGCATGTTTAATCATTATTTGAGGTTGTCCTGTGCCTGATTATTTTAGCTAAATTCAGAGATATTGCATTGGGCAGGAAAGAATGCATTGAAAATTTTCTAACCACGGTTATTTAAGCATAATCTGAAACATCTAGCCCAAAGGTAAGTTACTATTTTCATCACAGTTGCCTATGTCCAGGGAATAAGATATATTCTTTATAATTGAATTCCTTTTTCCCACTTCTAACTGGAAACAAAACAGAAGGGGTGCCATAAATTTGAATAAGCAGAACTGCTCTCAACATACTGTAATCAAAAGGAGGAATTTCAGTATGTCTCTCTGTATGAGAGAGAGAGAGAGAGTGTATGTATGTGTGCGTGTGTGTGTATGTGTGTTTCAAGGTCAGAATAGGTTTTTTTTTCCCCTCAATTTGGTCAGTAGAAAATGGACATCAAGTTTGGACAGATAAAGCATGGACAGCCTTATTGTGATCGAAATGCTTATAGGTTCTGTGCCAATTTTCCACCACTGTGTACTTTGTTGCTATTTAAAACTGTATCAGCTCTAACGGAAGAATAAATTATTTGTGATTTTAATTTTCTCATTTGTTTCTTTAAATTAGATCTTTTTGGCTGTCTTGTTTTGTCTGGAGACTATGCTGTGGGTTTTTATATAGTTAGTCCAGTATAAGCAGACTATATTTGTATTCTAGGACTTTATCAAAATTCTCTTGCCATGCCCAAGTTAATTAGAATTAACTGTTCAGTAATCATCATGTTGTGTAGGCTGTTTGTTACAGAATTCTTTCTCTGAAAATGAAGTCCATGAGGCTATAATCAAGATGACTGAATTAGATAAATGAGTTGAGGAGACAAAATTGTACTGAACCCAACCTGGTGTAGATATGTTATCTCATTTGAAATAAGCTCAACTGACATTAAGAAATAATTTGTCTTGCCAACCCATCTTCTGTTGTCTTATTCTCCTTTTAATGGAAACTAAAATTGCAATTTTAATAAGCAGAATTTCCTCCAGGACTTTCTTCCTGGAGACTAGTGCATTTGCAAGGTTTAATTGTTTTATAACAGTCCTATTTCGTAAAAGTTTTTAATTGGTGGTGACAAAAATTACCTTACTCCTTTGATACCTAGTAAGAGGAATAACTTTACCAGTAGCTGTCTACTAAATTTGACATTTCCATACAGACTGTTATGTTCTACAACTAAAATTTTCATTTTATCAAATGTTATTTTAATGCATAAATAACATACTATCCCATAAAATTCCAGAAGCAAAATATTACTAAGAAAAGGCAGGGTGATTATTAATAAATATTTCAAAATATTTACGTGTGCTAGCTTTGTTGTTTGAGAATATGTTAGTATTATTCTGTAGCATTATTCAGGTGGTATGTTGTTTTTGTTTTTAAATTTTTTTAATGGAATTTTTAAACATACATACCAAAGTGGAAAAATGGGTTTAGTGAGCCCCCATGTACCAGTAACCCAGTTCATCTGCGTTAGCAACTCATGATCAGTCTTTGTCCACACACTGATCCATAAATTGAAGCAAACACTATGTTATTTAATCTCTATTTCAGTAAGGATCTCTAAAAGATAAGTACAAAAAAAAAAAAATACCTTGAACCTTAAAGACTCTTTCTTCCTCCTCCTGAATTTTTGTATTTTCAGTGTTAACATTTAATTAGAAACTATCTCAGAATCTATATCTAAAAATCACTGCCTTTCATTTAAAAAAGTTATTCTTGTTAAATAAAAGATTCACAGATATACCAAAGGTGAACATTTTTCATCATTTCATCCCTTAAAAGTAACAATTATTAAAGGTTTGGTACATTTCTTCGATCTTGATTTTTACATGCATAAGCCAACATATATTATTTGGTTTTTTTAAAAACAAAAATGGAATTATACTCTATACTATTTTGCAACTTTCTTTTGTTTTTATGAACTTAGAAATATGTTTAGTGCTTCTTGTTCCTTTGTGGCCTCTAATATTTTACTATTGCAAAAACAAAGCTTTCATAAATTATTTTGTAAGGGCTTTTCATATGCTGTTGGGGTATTTCTATACAGTAAATTTCTAATGTTAGGTGTAAGGCTATGGACATGTAAGAAAGTGTCACCCTGAAAGGTATATCCTTGCCAACACATTTTTTAGCCTTGTTAGTTTTTGCAGCTCTAGTAAATTTTTAAAAATGTTATCTGTGAATTTAATTTGAATTACATTTGATTTGTAAATTGAGCATCATTTTAAGTCCTTAATGACACATTTTTTTTTTTTTGGCTATGAGATGCCTTTTAACATCCTTTGTCCATTTTTCTTTTGGGATGTCTGTTGTGTAAGAGACAGGAATTACTATATATACACACATATGCATACACACATATAAAATTATATATGGCCCTATAGGCACATATTAATCCTTTGTCTCTTCTGTTCATTATTTTTTAACTTTGCTTATGATTGGTCTTTCACTATTAAAGTTTTCAGATTTTATATAAAATTTGTGACTTGTGACCTCCCTAACTTGCAAATTTATAAAATATTTCTCATATTTGCTTCTGTTTTTTTAGAATTTATTGTACATGATTTGATTTGGGCATTAACTTTTTTCCTATATGGATAAACAGTTGTTTAAACATCATTTATTGAATAAGCATTTTTATTCCAGTGATTCGGGAAGCCAGTGTATTTCTTTGATTTAAAAACTTAATTATATCAACACTTATGCCACCAAGTAAAAGTAAAAAAGAAGAAAAAAGAAAATAATAAAGTAAAATTAATAAAAATTAAAAATAAAAACTTAATTATAGTTAAGGTATGTTTTATTCATTTCAAAGACTAGATCAACTTAAATGTAACTACTTAATTTAATTGGCATAAAGTTGTGAGTTGTTTTTTCCCCCCACTTGGTGTGTTTTATTGGATAAAAGTTATCTACAAAGTTATAAACAATGACTGGCTTCTTGATAGTAAGAGAATTATTGAAATGTGATTTTCAATAGAATGACTAGAACCTTTTAGAGATTTTTGCTTGTTGAAATTTACACGCTCTATAATTTTTGAACCCTGCTAATTGATTATCTCTGTAGCTGCCCCAAAAATATCTATTTGATTACTAAGAAAAAAATTAAATCAGTTGAAAATCTTATTGTTTATAAATCCAAATCTTAGAAATAGACAATGCAATATAATTTTCATTCAATAAAGACCTATAAATAGGGTTACCCTGTAATTTATTGCTCAATCTGGGAAACTTGAGAAGGGAAAGGAGACAGTTATACACACATATGCACACATGTATATTATAAATACAAATATACATGCATGTTTGTGTGTTGTATACATATATGTTATGTTATCTATATGAATGAATGTATATATTTTTAACATAATCTTTTCCCTGATAGGGATCTATAGTTAGATATGTGAATGATGCATTTATGTTTGGTTCTATATACAAACACATACTTTTTAGAGACAGGGTCTTGTTCTGTTTCCTAGGCTGTGGAGTGCATTGGTGCCATGATAGCTCATTGCAACCCTGAACTGGGCTTGAGCAATCCTCCTACCTCAGCCTCCTGAATAGTAGCAGATAGTACAGGTGTGTGCAACCACACCTAGCTTTTAAAATTTTTGTTGAGACAGGATCTCACTATGTTGTTGCCCAGGCTGGGCTTGAACTCCTGGCCTCAAGTGATCCTCCCACCTCAGCCTCCCAAAGTGCTAGGATTACAGGCATGAGCCACCACACCTGGCCCAGTCTATAATTTTTTAACTGATAACATATGAGTGGTTTCTCAGGATATAGTACATTAAAAAAAATTAAGCACATAAGAAATCCTGAATTTTCTGAGAGATTGTTGATTATCCTCCATTATTCTTTCTTTTAAAAGTAACCCCCATGTTTTGGATGGGTGCATGACTGTCTACCTAGAGACATTTATTAATATCTCCTTTGCAGTTTGATGTGGTCATATGACTTTAAATTCAGTTTGGGGGATGTGAATTGAAGTGTGTGGCTTCTAGACCACATTCTTAAGTGTTCCCTATTCTCTCTTTTCCATTTCCCTTGGGGTGGAAGATGACATATTGTTGGGCAGCTTTGACCTTATAGATATAAAAATATTCTAGAAAATGGCAGTGCAAGCAGATAGAATCAAAAGTCCCCTGAAAATGGGCTCCTGAAGTTTCCTCCCGTACAGCCTATCAACTTGGACCTTAACATTAGAGGTTTCTCTATATTAAGCCCTTTGTTATAGAAGCAAACCCTGTGCTCTAGTGTGGTCATGTAATGGAGACTAGTTCATACTACCCAATGGTACGTTCTTTCTGGAATCATATTTTTTAGGAATGACAAATGAGTACATTGCATCTAGTGTACTTCATAATCATTCAGTTCATATTCTTGACTAATAAAGTAGGACAGAATTCTTTAAGATTATCCTTTGCTTTCCATCACTTGAATGAATTGGATTGTCACATAACTACAGATTTAGTTAATTTAAAAGTATTGTAAAAACAGACTTTATAAACTTTTGGCATCTGTAATTATAAACTTTTTTCCTAACCTCACCACCTGTTTTTTAATGTAAATTTTATAAAATGTTCTCTGTGTACTTATTTTGAGCATTGTGTAAGAAAGATCTCATAAAATCTCGTGGGTTTTTGACTTTATTGTGGCTTCTATCACTTTAGTTTGTTTTTTGGGTTTTTTCTGTCTTAACACTTTCTTGCTGTTTCTTGGTTTCATGGTTTTCACTATATCATGTGTGTACTTTGATTCTAGTTTCTCTGCCAACTTTTCTTTGGGGAACAAAAACAATATACCAAAAGTACTTTGATTTCACCCCAATAGTAGTTCTCATTATTCAGCTTGAGTCAAATGTAAAGAGTTTTATGTGTATGGGAGGTGGAACTACAGGATATCCCCAAAGTCTCCATACAAAGGAAAAATTTTGTAAAATTTTGTAATGAATATTTTTTTTTTTATTTATTTTACTCTTCAAATAGGTCATGGAATATTTTGTAAATAAAGATACATTAAGCTACAATTTTCCAGTTTTCCTATGTAAGGCAACTTTTGAGACACCCTGTATATTAGCTGTACAATGACATTTAGGAATAGTGTTGTTTTTATATACTATTTAATCATGTGGTCAAATTTTCTAAGTTTTCAGGACTCCTGATATCAGTGGACCAAAATCCCATTTATAGCTATCAAGGATTTTATCTTTTTTTATCAATATGATTATTCATACTAGGGAGTTATATCTGTTAATGCTTAGTAAATTAAGAGCAAGGAAGTGTGGTTGTGGTTTTCTTTTCAGTACTAATATTGTTCTATCCAAAGAAATCCTATTTCCTGTTCATTAATTTCAGTATTCCATTCTTTCCCAAGATCTTGCTTCACAGCAAGCTTTCATACTTCAAGCACTACATGTTAGTGCTCAGTCCTCATTCCCACATAAACACAACCATTTTGAAACATGAACTGATATTAATTACCCCCTTGGCACCAAAAAGTCAGGATTTCCTGATGCGGCACGCTAATGTAAAATGCATTAGCACA